CTAAGAAATAAGTTAATGACCCTAAATCTTTCATATGAAAAGAACCCTGAAGACGTTTTTATAGCTGAGACATCAATTGATTGTCAAATCCTGTGATGATAATATCATCAACATAGACTAATAACAAAATAATTCCCTTCTCAGTTTTGCAAAGAAATAATGATGAATCATACTGACTTTGAATAAAAGAGAAGCTGAGAAGGGTATTGCGAAATTTTTCAAACCAGGCCCGTGGAGCCTGTTTCAAACCGTATAGGGACCGTTTGAGCTTACAAACATTATGTGAAGGTGTAGAAAATAAGCCTGGAGGAGGAGTGATATAGACATCTTCTTTGAGATCCCAATGTAAGAATGCATTCTTAACATTCATCTACTTTAAGAATCAGCCTTTAAATGCAACAATAGATAACACCAGTCGAACAGTTGTTATCTTAGCCACAGGTGCAACTGTTTCTTAATAATCAATTCTGTATTCCTGTTGATTGCCAAGAGCTACCAATCTTGCCTTATATCTGTCAAGAGAGCCATCAGATCAGAATTTAAGAGAATAAACGCATTTACAACCAATGGGTTTAACACCTGTAGGATATGAAATAATATCCCAAGTGTGATTATCTTGAAGTGCCTGAAGTTCCTCTTACATGGCTTTGACCCAGCAAGTTTGTTTAGCAGCCTGAAAGTAAGAGGTAGAAACGGTAGTATTAGTTAAAATTGCAGAATACCCATATCTATTTGGAGGACGGATAGTCGGATTGATCGTCGAATACTTATTGGAGCAATTTCTGGATCAGGGTCGGGGGGATTGAAGGTGAAGGGGGCAGACGTTGTGTGTAGATAATGTCCGGCTTGAACCGTTTATCAGCAGAAGAATTATCAAATTGTGGAAGTATAATTGTATATGGTGTCGACATATGATGCTGAAAGTAATATTCATGTTCAAAGAAAATCACATTCCGAGAAATATGTCATCGATTTTTAATTGAATCATAACACACAAAACCTTTATGATTATGACTGTACCCCATAAAGGCACATCGTATTGAGTGAAGACACATCAGACTGACTGAGCTGTCAATTTATGACGTTCATGAGCAGGTAAATGAACAAAATAAACACATCTGAAAGTATGTAGCGTATGATAATTAGGATGTTTATAAAAAATTTGATAGTAGAGAGGCTCATAGTTCAATTGTTGAGATGACAAACGATTAATGAGATAAACTGCAGTAGATAAAGCTTCAGTCCAAAATTTAGCTGGAACTGAAGATTCTATCAGTAATGTGCGTACAGTATCAAATAGATGTCGATTTTTCCGTTCAACAATTTTGTTTTGTTATAGTGTATAGGGACATGAACGTTGTGAAACAATACCTTTGTTATGGAGAAATGCTTGAAACTCATGAGACATGTATTCACCGTCATTGTCAGACCGTAAGATTTTAATGCGAGCGGAGAACTGAGTTTGAACATTTAATAAAAATGTTTGGAATACAGTAAATACTTCTGCTTTGGAATGTAAAAATTGGAATGTTGGAATGTAAAAAATAGATCCAAGTAAATCGACTATAATCATCAATAAATGTCACAAAATATCTATATTGAGCATGTGAAATAGCTGCTGTAATTCCCCAGGCATCATTATGAATAATGTCAAAACACTTATCGGCACGACTGCCTGAAATAGGAAAAATGTAATATCTTATTTTTTCCAAGTTTACAAACAGAACAGTCAACTACTAAACTCTTATCTGTAGAATAAAAAACACAACTTTTACATTATTGTTTCAACACCATATCATTTGGATGACTTAGTCTTTTATGCCAGATGTGCACCATATTTTCAACAACTGAAGAAGCTAATGAAATATTCTGAGGAACATTAAATTATAATGGAATCAGTCTACCCACTTTAGGTCCCTTCGCTATCACCTTCCCCGCACCCTATTCTGCACAGCACAACCATCACGAGAAAAATGTGCGTCACAGTTATTATCCATAATTTGACCAACAGAGAGTAAGTTAGTAGTTAATTTATGAGAAATCAAGACATGTCTGAATGAGGAGTTAATATCATCAACTATCGTAATTGAAATATTTTCCATTAGCAACTTAAATATGTTGAGTACCAGTGTACGGTCGTTGGTTATGCAAGAAATCAGCTATGTCAGTCATATGATTTGTGGCGCCTGAATCAACAAACCAAGGAGAAGGAACAAAAGTAATAGTTTTACCTTTCCCTTGAAGGCCGAGAGCAGAAAAGGCAAAGAGAATCATCTGTTGAACCATATCTGGTATGACAACTGTTTGATTATTGTCAACAACTATGGAAAATGTGAATGTCAAGACAGGATTGTGAGTGTCAGATACCGTGGCATGATATGCTTGTGGTTTGCGGTTTTTTAGGGCACTCCGTAAGAGTATGTCTCTTTTGCTTGCAATAAGTACATACCTTATTTTCACAATTCCGTGCAATATGACCAAATTTCTTGTAGCTATAACACTGCACTGGTCCCTTCCCTTTGGTCTTGGCAGCATGTGTCATATTAATTATTTTTGATGATCCACCTATTGTACTGATAGTAGCTTGTGTCGCCAATCTTTGTTCTTCACGCAATAATTGTCCAAAAAAACATCCAAACAAGCGACCGGATCTTTGTTCAGCAACCCAACTCGAGCAATTTCAAATTTAGGTCTCAGTTTCATTAAAAATTGATCATGAAGACTTTCTTCATGAATAGCTTGAAGACTAGCTAAGTTCTCCTTTGGTACCTTCGAGATGCCGTCGAACTCAAAAACAAGAAAGAGCGCTCCGACGAGCAAGCAGTTAACAAAAGCTAAAATTCTAATGATTCAGACCAAGCTCTGATACCATGTCAATATTTTGAGCAAATAGGTTAAATGTCTTTTTCTTTGTTTTCATTCCAAAAAATAATAGTCTGAACAATCTATTTTAGGTAAATAATATTCTGTGTAATCTATTTTAGGTAACTTAATTGATACATATTCCTAATCTAAATATTCAGCTAAAAGGAAAGAATCTGTGCGAATATAATATTTCCTTTTTTGCAGCCTTGCGAAAAAGGAAACTTTTTATTCTGCCTGATTTCTTTTATTCCTGATTGATAATGATGTGTCATTTCTAGGAAATGCACTAGCTCTCGAAAAAAATAAAGCTTTTTAGTCATTTCATGAATATTAGTGACTATTATATGTCTAACTACATTAATCTTCAAACTTTGTAGTCTAGACTTGTGATTGACAATAATTATTTTAAATCATAGCCCAAATCATCATATCACATTATTGATCCACTTGATATCTTCATTCATTACACATTCATTCTAGATTGAAAAGACCTTTAACAATTTTCATGAAGAGGGTATTTGGAGATTTGTACTTCAATTGTTGATGAATTAATACTTGATGTGTGGCCATGTAAGCGATATAAATTTGGAGAAGAAGCCAAGTAACAAAATCAACATTGACCCTATTGATTTTTTATTTTGGTGGGCGATGCATTACCAGTTTGTAATGCACTTCATTTACCAGTCGTTTGTCCAAAAAACATTCTCGCCGTAAGAAAAGGCTTATAATATCTCTGAATATCTCTTTTTTTCTTCAAAAGATTTCTATGAATATGATTTTCTTGGAACTGAAATTCAAAGTTAGCTCTTTTTTATTATTTTAAATTTTAGGATTACTCTTGGGTGGAAAGATTTTTTATCCATACATGGTGTATCGTACTATGTTATTGAGAAAAAAAAAAACTATATTTGACTACTTTAATGGAACAGACTAAAATACTGTTAACTAAAACATAAATGATAGGGCACTCCAATAAAAATGAAAGATGTTTTTCTCTCAGATTCAATGATCACACTAATTAGTTACTATCACATAGCCTTTGGTAAGACGAACATTTTATATAATGGCCTTTGTTCAGAAAATATGTTATGTTAGGATATAAGGTTGCATCCAAAGAATTATACTTTTCGTCGCCATCATCATCATTAGCCTTATTTCGACTAATTAGATTGACATTATAAATTCTTATTTTTCATTCGTTCTTGTTAAGTAATATATTGGGTGCTAAACTTGTTATTAATAAAACATTTCAAATAACTTGTATGCATATAATCAATGTTCCCAAACAGCAGTTTGTTTAATATATTTAGCATGTTCTTTCAGACTTGACTATTAGCTGAATTTTAAAATATGGTACGTTGTCGTCTACACATGCTTTTTAATTTTAATTATTAGGAATTTGAATTTGCAGTGGCAATGAGTCAACTTCAAGTTAGTCAAATTTCTAAAGAGAGGCATGGCTGGCTGAAACTCTGACTTAAGATATTTGATTTAATTTTCGAACTCGAATCTCTATTCAAAATTCATTTATTTGATTCGAAAGTGTTTCAAATTGCAAGTGACTTCGAGTTTTGAATAGGATCAATACAATGATTGAAGATGAAAAAGCAGGTTGAGAAGTTTCAATCATGGCTTCGAACGAGCAGCGATTTATAAAGGAAGATTTACATATATACCAGTAAATTCCTATGCATTTACATAGTTAACTCTTTACATACCACCTTACCTACGCATGAAAATGTGTATTTCATGTTTTAACAGCTAAAATGTTGATATTTTTTATGTGATATGAAAGATTTGGGCGGTATAAATGTAAAAAATGTAGCTTATGTGTTCGATATGTAAATACATAGGAATTGGGTGGTATGCATTTAAATGCTGGGATATTCTCCTTCCATCCAAACAGAACCTTGTGCTCGAAGCATTTAGCTGAAGCAATAAAAAAAATGTGCAGTCCTTTAAATTAAATAAACTACAATGAGAACAAGCTTGCAATATTGGTTATACCCATAATTCTTTGGTATTTTCTTATATGCTCCGGAAGTTCGACTATGTGTTAATTTTTATTTGTTGTTCTAACCTTCTGTTAAAAACGTTACTAATGAGACATTCTTGTTTGTGGATACCCGCTGCAGTTGGAGATATTGCATGTACTTTTCAGAAAATGTGACAAACTGAAGAACCATGCTGACAAGGTAACCTTACTAGAATCGAAATCAGCGAGCTGACTCGTAAACCGGCTCAACTCGAATCAAAGTTCTCTAGATCAAATCACGCGTGATTGAGATTTGTATATATATTTATATTTATGCTAATATGCATCTATTTGGATGCAGTGCAAGCAGCTTGTAATGCATTATGGCCCTTATATACTGGCCAAAGGCGGGAAATTCCTCGAGCAAAATGATGTTTGTGCTTCCATTCCGGCTTGCCGGTCGAACCAAGTTGAGGCCAATATTGAAGGTGCTGCTCCGCCAGGTTCATCCATCCATGATACTTGAAATCATTTATTTGAAACAAAACCCAGCATATCTATTCTGTACGAGTTGTTTGTGCAACAAAACGGATGAACTTTTAAGTTGGTGTGCTTGAGATTTGGGTCCCATATATCAATTATGTACGAGTTGTTTGTGCTGTTTTCATTTAAATTTCATAAATAATGTAAGATGTTTGATATGTATAATATCTGCTATTTTATGGAGTAATGCTATGGGTGCAAATTAATGGCATCTCAATTGTTTTTGAGATGGATAATATGCCACCTTATGAATAAAATGGTGTATTTCACTATTTTAAAGCTAAAATATTGGTATTGTTGATGTGATATGGAAGAATTATGTGTTATAAATGTAAGAATCAAAGTTTAGGTATTAGATATATAAATACATAATAAATTGGGGGTATGAATGTAAATGCCCTTATTATTTCTATCAATTCAATAAACAACATTTTCATTTAGTATTTTTAACTATCTAATATTTTGATTAAAATTCTGAATTAAAATTTTGAGACATGATGTTTTATTTACTTTTAATTTAGATTTCTTACTCCTAGTCATCTGGTCAGATCGATTTATCAGTTGTCCGGTTCAAACTCGGTTCCAATCGATTCAATCACGGTTTTATGCAGAAATAGTTTTGAGCTTGGACCGCACCAGTTGAATGACCAGTTAACTGTTGAAGTGGTTGAATTGATCGATCCGATCCGATTTTTAAAATCATGATTTAGGGGCCTATATCTGGTATGGATGTACATTAGAGTTAACATGTTCAATTTGAGTCTATTCTAAATTGATTTTGACCCATACCTCATTTATAATATGGGTTTGTATATTTGATTAGACTCAACCCAAACCCATTTAATTGAAACTCAATCAACTAATTCATGAAAAAAAAAAATTATGATAATATTTTGATCAAAATCTAATAATAGATCACACAATTTTTATATTTATAACATTTAAAATTATAACATCACATTATTAATTTTTAAAAGTGAATTACAATTTTTTCCTGTCTATAAAACTATCAAAATTTAAATGGTATATATGTAAATACAAAAAAAAAATGATGAGATTTATGTAAATTTCTCAAATTTATACTAATATAAAATATAATTAATGTTAATACTGTGGGTCCTTATTAAATCTAACTCTATTTAAATGTTAATTAAAGCTGTTTTGGGTCAATCATTTCCCCCCCACACACCTTGTTAATAATTGGTGTCTGAAAGTTAATGGTGATGTCAACTTGAACGGCAACTAGCTGTCCCAAACAAACCGCCTCACTAAATAGATATTAATGCCGAAATATTTTCGTTCAGAAAAAAAATTGAAGATTTTCTTATTTATAAAATAAAATAAATAAATAAATAATTTTCGCCGTGCGAGAAGGGGCTAGTTGGTTTGATTGCCGACCTGCTCTACGAAACGCGGACCCGCCATCTGGTCCACCGTCCAGGCTTTCGGTCAACATACATCACTTTAGAAAGGTGTAGGGCCCGTTTGGAGCAGCGCAGTAGATTTTTACAAACGGTGTTTTGCCTTCTTATTCAAAAACATGATTTTAATTTTATATTACTCGCAGACGGGTCGAAACACGGGCTGCGTTTCAGGATAAGCTGCTGCATTTCAAGATAAGCTGATTATCCTGAAACACACAAGCTATCTCAAACGCACCTAAAAAATTCATATCAGTCGTACATATTCACATATCTAACATGTAAACTTTAATTTTTAGATATGTACTATTTTATCTGTATTTTAGACTTTTAAAAATTATAATAATGATATTTTTTATATGGCAAAAAAAGTGGATGTTATAAATGTAAAATGTGAAGATTAGGTGTGTGTTAGATATGTAAATATACAGGAGGAATTGGGGTGGTATTTATGTAAAAGCTCCCTTTTTATTTTATCATAATAGAGATTAATTATATTAGATTTAATATAAAACCAACATAATATAAAATTTAGTTAGTTGATTATTCCTACTTTTATCCGAAATAAATCAAATAGTTTCAAGGCTCTATCTGAACGAAATTTGGTTGAGACAAATTTTTTCATACCATCAAAGTTGGGATCCTGTCAAATCAAAATAAAATAGGCGTTTAAGTGTCAGTTTGAGCCAACCTATTTGGTGGGGTGGCGTTTTGAAAACGCATTTGCTCTGTTTGGGTGAACTGTGTTTTGGCAACTTATACATTTTCAAAACGTTGAAAATAACGTTTTCACACCCCACCTGTCTATATGCGGTGACAACTTTCTGACTGCGGTCAGACTTTTCCAAAAAAATAAAAATTAAAAAATAATAAAAATTTGTAGTAGCCACCACATCTAGTTTATTGGCAGATTATTTTTAATCAGTTTATCAGCAGATTATTCAATAAGCTACAGTTGCCTCAAACAGACCCTAAGTATATATATGACAGATTTCTTATATATTTACAAATTGAACACCTAAACTTTCATATTTTGACTCATGACACTCGAATCCTTAAACACCAATTTAAAAATATCATAATTATCAATTTTTGCAAGTGAAATGCACTTTTTCTTACATAAGTTTATGGTACCGATGTGTTTTAAGAGTAAATATCAAACATTGAGTGTTAGATATGTAAATACATAAGAATTTTATGGTATATATATAAATTTCCAAATAAAATATGTTCAAAGCTTAACTACAAATTTAACCCATGGATTCCACTGCTACTTAGCCAAGCGGTTTCCAAATATATGTGATGTTGTGGTGATCTATGTTGTCAAGGAGGGTTTGTCACACTAAGCATCTTAGCCAAATGATTGGTAACAATGGTGTTACATGTAGATGGGGTGAAATTTAGAATATTGTGGAAAGTGGTGTTTGTAAGCATAGCAACCAAATCATTCAAGCACCATAAAAAAAAAAATTAAAAAAAAAAAAAAAAAAAAAAAAAAAAAAACATTCGAGTAAGCTTGTTGTAATGTCTAGTGTGTTTTGACATTTGCTAATAAGATTTTTTCACGTAAACATTATGGTGTTTTCCTTCACTATATTTTCTTATCTAAGTGTTGAATTATTGTACAATACTAAGATGATAAATCACTGTTATATCGCTGTGAGTTTTTCGCGTGCACAAGTGTCATTAGATTAATTGATGGTCCTCACTGATTGACCCAAGTCCTTGGTTATTTATTTTGCTCGATGGTGCAGGTGTTATATTTTTGAGAAGATGATTTACAAGACTCATTTTTATTTTATTTGATTTAAATTTTGAAGGGTCATTAGAACATTTAGCATTTGAGTCTTTTAGCACATCAACATCTTCTAATACATAAAAGCATATATCAATGTGTTGACATTAATAATAGTGGAGTGGCATACACAATGATCAATACAAGATGTTTATTAGGGATTTTTAACTTCTTAAACATCTACAAAATAACACAATGCATTAGCATAATTTTCAAAGCAAGACATTCATTCTTCATGCTTTATAAAACTCATTGATTTGAGCACCACAAGATTGACCATGATTCAATTATGACATGATATAACCATCCAATTAACTAGTTTATTTTATTCTTTAGGAATGTTGATGTATTGATTAAACTCGTGAATTTGGCTTGATTCGACTAATCAATTAGATATCTCAAATTAACTTTGTTGATTGATATAATTTTAAATTTAATTTGACATGAATAGCCCATCATGTCTAAGCTTAATCTTCAAAGAAAAAGAAAGAGATTCATTAATCAAGAAAAAAGTTAGATGAACTTCATTGTTTAATCAATGGTTGTGAAAGTTGTATCATATGTTGAACCAAATAAAAAAAAGGAAGGTCAAGGTCCAACAGTTTAATTAGAGTTGAACCTAACTATTAAAATTATTTAATATAATTGCATTGATATAATTATGATGCAATAATGATAATTTTGTCAATCTAATATATCTATAATAATTCACAATACTTCACTCTTGAATATTTTAAGTATAATTCTAAATGAAAATTTTGGAACATGATATTTTAAATATTTCTTTTCTATTTTTGACATGAATATTTTTTTCTACCCCTCTGATCAAAATCAAAATCAAAATCAAAATCGATCACTATTAGAATTGGTTGGCTTATAAAAAATCAATTAAGTTTACTCGTTCACCAGTTAAACTGCCAGTTTGACTGATTTCGAATTTGGACCACACATGCCAGAAGACTAATTCACAGTCGAATCAATTGGTCCCGTTAGTATGATCTGATCTATTCTTAAAACTATGATGCAATCATCAATAATTAGAATCATTAAGAGCAATTTAGCTAATTCAGGCTAAGGGAAGTCTTCAAGCACGATACATATCAGTGCAGGAGAAAATGTCCAATCAGAAGATCATTGTCCCGTCCATAATTGGGTTCTTCCTCTCCTTTATAGACATTTTTTTAGAAAATATAGCTTTTGAAAGCTCTTGCATTCTTACATTTTAATATGTAAATTTTTACATATTATATTATTTAGTGGGTCTTAAATCAAATATAATATCATTGAACCGGAGCCCAACCTAGCAAATATTCGTGGAATCTACTAAAAGTTAGATCTGGTGAGAGCTCTCGAAGGAAGATCTACAGTTCATTGTGGCCTAATGATGGCGATGTCGGGGCCACGTTCATAGATAGTTTAATTTCGTAGGCGCAAACGACAAAATAAATAAACCGTAAGGGACATAAATTAATTCTTTTATTTATTTATTTATTTATTCTATGTTTGTCAGATTCCGGCAAGAATGAAAAATTTATAATCCAATGGTTGATATAAGTAAATATTAATATTATTTTAATATAATTTAAATAAAATAATAATAATATAGTATATTTTTTATTTTTTATTCATTAAATAATATCATAGTTTGAATATTTGAATTAAATTTTAAATTAGAAGTTTGATACATAATATTTTCTCGATTTTTAATATAAATATATTATTTTAGACATCCAATTAAAATTTAAAATTTAAAATTTAAAATTTGGATAATATTAAGCTGGTTCTTTTTTAAAATCAAATAGATTCATGGATTGACCGGTTCAACACTTAATTCTAATTTTGTGCAAAAAACAATGTTAAGCTTAGACTAAATCAGTCAAATGACTCATTCATGATTGAACCGGCCTTTTCAATTGATATTTTAAAACCATGCGACAAACAATCCTGTCATGATAAACAAGTTTATCTTTGAAGGATAGTTTTTGTTAAAATTTT